AGCAACCACAACAAAAACAACACCAACAACCACAACACCACCAACAACCACAACACCACCAACAACAACAACAACAACAACAATCACTTTACCCGAACGCTCAGTGTTCTCACCAGTGCCAGGGTTTTCATGCGACGCCAGCCAATACCCCCACTTTGTGGGGGGCAGTGCAAGCTCTACCAAATATCCACACGACTCTTCGCCACCACCCACACCCAGCTTCCCGCCCTATGACGTTCGGACACTTCACTTCGTGGCCTGCGGACGACCGTGGCTACTACACTGGCGTGAAGTACACACCCACAGAAGTTTGTGTTAGGACAGCCGCGCGGGTAAAATTTTTTGAAAGGTCGTGCAGGTGTTTTTCGAGGACCTACGGTGCGATTCGTGTGATTTTGATGCGCGGTGTCTAAAATTCTAAGAAAGCCCCATGGTTTTTTGGAGATTTCGGGTGCTCGCGGGGCGGAAGAAAAAACTAATGTGTCCCCGCATGGTACTATTTGACAGGGATGATGGCGCCTGGCAGTGCGCAACCGTTTGTCGCGAGTTCGAAAAGTTGCCAGGCAAAAGCCCGTTTTTTTTTTTTTTTTTTTTTGACAGAAATGTTTAAAAGTGTTGGGTTTCCTACGAATCCGCAAGAGCGCGCGGGATGAGATTTTGACATTTTTTTGTTGAAAAACCATTGGTTTTTTGATGTTTTTATGTTCAAATCGCTCCGAACACTAAGCTTTTGGAAGGATTTCGTCTTGCGCGCGCGAATGTCCACTTTACCTTATTTTTTGCAAGGGATTCTTGAAAGTTGATTATATTAGAACAAGAAATGTCATTTTATAGTGTTTTTTGCAAGGGAAAACGGATTACAACAAAACAACCGGATCTTGATCACCTCGAATTACCTGAGGCTTCCTCACGAAAATGATGAAAACTTGGCTGCGGCCTAGGCGCGGCGGGGGGGGCGCGCACCAGGGGCCTAGCAAGGGTATTCTTTTAATTTATATATTAAATTAAAAATAATGTTTTCAACAACAACAACACAACAATCATTTTACCCGAACGCGTGGTGTTCTCCCCAGTGCCAGGGTTTTCATACGACACCAGGCAATACCCCCACTTCGTGGGGGGGCATTACAAGCTCTACCAAATATCCAAACGACTCTTCGCGACCACCCAAACCCAGCTTCCCGCCCTATGACGTTGGGACACTTCACTTCGTGGCGTGCGGACGACCGTGGCTACTACACTGGCGTGGGGTACACACCCACAGAACCCAATGGTTTTTGGAGATTTCGGCGTGCGCGCGCGAAGAAAAAACGAATGTGTCCCGCATGGTATTATTTGACAGGGATGATGGCCCTGGCAGGTGCGCAACCGTTGCAGAAGTTCGAAAAAAGTTGCTCGCAAAAGCCCGTTTGACCGAAATGTTGAAAAAGTGTTGGTTTTCCTACGAATCCGCAAGAGCGCGCGGGATGAGATTTTGACATTTTTTTGTTGAAAAACCATTGGTTTTTTGATGTTTTTATGTTAAAATCGCTCCGAACACTAAGCTTTTGGAAGGATTTCGTCTTGCGCGCGCGAATGTCCACTTTACCTTATTTTTTGCAAGGGATTCTTGAAATTTGATTATATTAGAACAAGAAATGTCATTTTATAGTGTTTTTTGCAAGGGAAAACGGATTACAACAAAACAACCGGATCTTGATCAACTCGAATTACCTGAGGCTTCCTCACGAAAATGATGAAAACGTGGCTGCGGCCTAGGCGCGGCGGGGGGGGCGCGCACCAGGGGGCCCAACAATAATTATTCTTTAGAATTAATAATGTTCAACAACAGCAACATGAAGAAGGCGACCGCCGGCCACGACGGTCGCTGGGCGCCCCCCGCCCTCGCGGGAAAAAACCCGCCCGGCCCGTGCGGAGGCCGCCCGGCGCTCCCCGCCCGGGAGAGGCCTCGGCCCCCCCCCCGCCCGGCGAAGCCGGAGGCCGCCCGTCGGTGCCCGGGAGCTCTCCTCTGCTCTCTGCAGAGCAGGCAGGGGGCCACAAGCGAGCCCCCCAGACCTCCTGCAGCGTCGTGACAAAAACACGACGGGAGGTTTTTCGCTGTTTTCTGCCTCCAGGGGCCCTCACCGGGCCTCGGGAGCGTCAGACCTCTGGGGCCACAACTCGCCATCGCTCGGACGCCCATTCCCTGTGTTTTTGGGGTTTTGTGCGTGGTTTCTTCGCCGAATGATCGAGGATGCTCCTCGATGGTCCTCGCCGAAGGGAAAAACGCACTCGTCCGAGCGATGCCAGAACAAGCGAACCCTACCCCTGCCCCCACGGTTTTTGAGGGGGAGGGTGGGGTTCCCTTCGCTCGGGACCTCCCGAACGAAGTGAACCCTGCCCTCCCCCTCAGAAATCGTGGGGGGTAGGGGTAGGGTTCGCATGTGGCCCCCTAACAGGTTGCTGGTTGCTTCAGGACCCTCTTCTGGGTCACCTGCTGTGACTTGCCCTGGGATCCGATGTCGTGATTTGTTCAACACGGGGCCCCCGGAAGTCTCGACCCTTTCCCCGGGACCGGTTTGTCATCCCGAGTCGATTTGTTGACGGTCCCAAGGCCCGGCGAGGGCCCCTGGAGACCGAAAACGGCGAAAAACGTCCGCCCTGATTTTTTCAATACGTCGGATCTCTGGGTGGCAGGCCTTGACGAACCGCGTGGCAGCCCTGGCTTGGCGGCGCGCCCAAGAACTTCAGCACCAGGAGTTCCGCGCGGATTCACCGGGTCGGCGCTGGGCCCCCCCCGAGGCGGCGCCCTCCGGTCTTGGGCCGGCGCCGCATATTCGGCTGCTTCCGAGCCCGCATCACACGGCCCTCTCGGCCGCCTCAGAGGCCACCTTGGCCGCCTTCCCAGACCTCCTCGCGTCGTGACAAAATCACGACGGGAGGTTTTTCGCGATTTTCGCCCTCTGGAGGCCCTCGCCGGGCCTCGGGAGCGTCAAAAAACGACTCAGGACGAAGAACCGGTCCCGGGGAAGGGGTCCGGGCCTCTGGGGGTCGAGGTCGTGAAAAATCACGACGTCGGGGGTCTGGGTACGGCCCTCTCGGCCGCCTTAGAGGCCATCTTGGCCGCCTCGTCGGGTGCTCCCAGAAGGCCCCGCGCGGTTTCCAGAGCACCCCTCACGAGGCCCAGGGGACCCCGGGGGCTCCAAGGTGGCGCGAGAAGCTCGAAACACTCTGGGCCAGGACCCCCCTGGCAACATCCGATGTTCCCAGACCCCCGACGTCATGAATTTTTCATGACGTCGACCCCCAGAGGTCCAGACCCATTCCCCGGGACCGGTTTTTCGTCCTGAGTCGTTTTTTGACGGTCCCGAGGCCCGGCGAGGGCCTCCAGAGGGCGAAAATAGCGAAAAACCTCCCGTCGTGATTTTTTCACGACGCCAGGAGGTCTGGGCCCCCCAGGCCAGCGCCAATTCGGGGCCCTCCGCGGCGGTTCCCCGGCCAGTGTGTTCATGCTGAGCTACACTGTCACTGCCCCTCTGTCGTGGGGGGGTGCTGTGCTCTTGTTCGCTGGAGCACTTGACACGCGTGCGGAGCTACGCTGTCAATGCCCCGCTCTCCTGTGGCGCTGCTGCGCCCCTGCTCTGCACGCACGCCGCGTGTGGCGGCGGAGAGCTGAAGATGTCCGTCCATAGGAGAACAAGCAATGACGTAAACACACACACACACAGCCGGAGGCCCGCGCGAATTTCTCGGATCGGCGCTGGACCCCCCCCTCCTTGGCGTGCGGAGCGCGCCTTGAGCGGCGCCAAAGGCGCCGCCGGGCGGCCCCAGCGCCGGTCCGCGCGGGCCTCCGAAATCTGTGGTCAAAAGCGAGGTAAGTTTGTTTGCCCCCTATTCTAGAATCAAGATGATCGATGGTTCCCTCGTCCACCACTCTTGCACATGTTTGTGCCACTGCTTGCTCCGGCGAGCACGCCAGCGGCGAGGGGAGACGGGTGAGCAGAAGGTCCGTGGCCTCCGCCGCTGCCGCCCACCGCCCGGCCGTGCGAGAACGTTCCGCCCCGGCGGCGCCCGCGGAGAGCTGGAGGCTTGCGGGCCCGCCTCCTGGGCCACAGGGCCCGGCACCTGCACACTTCGAGAAGCCGCGGGCGCCAGGTGGTCGAGGACAGGCAGACGCCGGTCAGCAAGCGGTGGGGTGTACCAGGAGCGAGTTGAGGCACAAGGGCGAGAAGGACAGGGCGCCAGGGAGGGACGGGAGGGACCCGCCAGACCATGAAAGCCAGCACGCGCACACTCTCGGCGTCGCGGCCCTGCGCGCAGCGACAGGGCGCAGAAGGTCTGGAAACAGCAAACCGTGCGCGCGCGTCTCAGCCCGCCCGAGCACCCAGAGACCACTCAGGGTCTCGCAGCCGCCGGCAGCCATGACCATCTGGGCACCAGCACGTGGACACACCCAGCGAGATCCATCCCACAATCTGGCCATCGGCTGCTCCGCGGCTCGCGCCAGCGCCAACCCGGGGGCCTCCGCCAGTGGTGCGCGCCCTCTCCGCGGAGGCCGCACGGAGCCGCGCCGCACTGGGCGCGGGCAGCGGCGAGGGGGCCCGCCTGGGGGGCCCAGGGCACCGCCGGCCCCTCGCGGCTAATGAGCTGCGGCCCCCGCGGCAGCGAACCGTTCCCAGACCCCTCGGGTCATGAAAGAAGTCATGACGGGAGATTTGTCGTTACTTTCGGCCTCCGGCGCCCTCACTGGGCCTCGGGGCTGTCAAGAAACGACTCAGGATGAAATACCGGTCATCCTGCTGCTCCTCCTGGTGCTCCTCCTGCTCCTCCTGCTCCTGCTGCTCCACCTGCTCCTCCTCCTCCTCCTCCTCCTCCTCCTCCTCCTCCTCCTCCTCCTCCTCCGTAGCCATTTTGGCTCAAGCCATTTTGGCTCATGCCGTCCCGCGCGCGGCCCCCCGCGGCTCAAGCCGGCATGGTGATGTCTCACCGGGCTGCTGGCGGCCCGCACGCTGGTCTTGGAGATGGCTACGGGGGCGACCCATCGGTGTGGTCGCCCAGCGCTCTTCGCCGAGCCGAGTCCGCCTCGCTCGGCCCGTCGGCGGCTCGCCGAGCCGCCCGACGCCGGAAGCAAGAGGCGCTGGTGGCTGCGGTGGTGGCCCGCAGCGCTGGCGCCGGCCCTGGCAGCTGGCAGGATCGTGAGCGTGGGGTGCGACCCGCGCTTCGTCTACTGGCTGCCGGGCGGCGCATCCCAGGCAGCGTGCGCAGGCGGAGAAACGCCTCGTGGCACGCACAGCGTGTGCCATCAGGGGGCTTCGAGGCAGCCCCCGACGAGGCGATCGCCTGGGCGGCTGCTGGGCCCAGGCTGGGGCATTGCGCTGGCGACAGCGTGGGCGGCTCCTGCGGTGTCTTCGACGCGGGTGCCGAGGAGCAGCAAGCCCAGCCGACGGCCGAGTGGCTAGCACCTGGCGTGTGGCATGGCTGTGGCCCCACCGCCGAGAGCGCGGCCCAGGCCTTCGTGCGTGGCCTCGCCGCGAGCTGGCGGCTCGCAGAGCTGGGCGAGGCGCAGGGCGACGAGGAGCTGGCAACGGGTGTCGTGCCAGGGCCCCTGCGGGGGGTGGCTGCCCTTGCGGTGCCGTGTCGTGCCGAGCTCAAGGCTGGTGTACCTCGGCTGTCCGCCGATCGCGACGGCGGCGTCGGCATCGTGGAGCACGGCTTCGACTTGGAGTTCCAGCAGGGCGTGCTGCTCCAGCTGCATAGGTGGGCGGTGCCACTCGGTCGCTCGCTGCAGCCTTTCGTCCGCCGCCGCCTCCGCGTGGACGCGGAGCCCGAGGATGAGACGGAGGCCCAGGCGGACTTCGAGAAGGAGGAGGCTGCCCAGCTACCAGCCGGGGGGACCCTCCCCCCTGCGGCTGAAGGCTCTGAGGGAGGGGAAGTGCACGTGCAGGCGAGCAGCTCGGTGCCGCAGAGGGAGGACCCCTTGCCCTCTCTCGCCGCCCCGTCGTGGATCCCGCGGGGACTCCCCGTCGATCCTGGTGAAGGCCGCTTGTTCGGCTGCAGTGATTATGCAAGTGGGAGCCCGCCAAGGACAGGAGTGGCGGACGCTGGAGCGTTGTTCTCTCGGTTCGCGGTGGCGTGGTCCGACGACTCCAGCACAGACCCGCTCGACGAGTTCGACCTGGACGGATTCGGCTTTTAGCAGTCACTGCAGATAATGGTCAAGGCAGTTCCCTCGCTGTCGTGATGCCGTACCCGCTCGTCGTGCCGTTCGGCCTGGTCTTCCTGGAGTTCGTGTTCGTCGGAGTGGTCAGAGGTGATAGCGTCGAGGTCGAACATCGAAAAAAAAACCTCCTCCCCCTCCTCCTCCTCCTCCTCCTCCTCCTCCTCCTCCTCCTCCTCCTCCTCCTCCCTCCTCCTCTCCTCCTCCTTCTCCTCCTCCTCCTCCTCCTCCTCCTCCTCCTCCTCCCTCCTCCTCCCCCTCCCCCTCCCCCTCCCCTCCTCCCCTCCTCCTCCTCCTCCTCCTCCCCTCCTCCTCCTCCTCCTCCTCCTCCTCCTCCTCTCCTCCTCCTCCTCCTCCTCCTCCTCCTCCTCCTCCTCCTCCTGCTCCTGGGAATTTGTCGAGACCTCTGGGGGCTGACGTCCTGGAAAGAGTCACGACGCCGGGGGTCTGCGCACCGAGGGGGGCGAGGCAGCGTGCACCTCCTGGGCCCCAGGAGGGCCCCCCTCGGGGCCCCCTGGGGTGCACCCCTTCCCAGACATCCGACGCCCTGAGCTTCTCCACACGGGGCCCCCAGAGGTCGGCACCTCCTCCCCGGGGCCCAGCCCTCCATATCCCGCGGCGGCTCTCTGACGGCCCCCGGGGGGGCCTGGCGAGCTCCCCCCCGGAGGGCCGCCGCCCGCGGAGAGGACCTCGGCCCCTCGAGCTCCTCGAGGCGCTCGGGGTCTGGCATGGGCCGCCTGTCCCTGCCCTGCCGCCGCCCTCCCCTCGCTGGTCGCGCCGCCGCGGGCCACGGCACGACCCGGGGAGCCCCGGGGCCTGGCGGCGCCCCCCACATGGAGCACGAAGCACGCCCTGCAGGCTGGCACCGTCCACGAGGGTGCGGCGGGTGCGGCGCCGGAGCGCCCGAGCGTCAGAGAACGGTGCCCGGCCGGAAGTCCTGCATTCGGCACATCGCCGATGCATCGGCGATGCATCGGCGACGCGGGCGTGGAGAAAATCGCGACGACGAGGAGGAGGAGAAGGAGGAGGAGGAGAGGAGGAGGAGGAGGAGGAGGAGGAGGAGGAGGAGGAGGAGGAGGAGGAGAGGGAAGAGACGACGGCAGAGGGACCAACGACGACGACAGCGACGCGACGACGACGACGACGACGACGACGACGATGACGACGACGACGACGACGATGACGACGTTCGGTCTTGTGCCAAAGCTAACGTCGTGGCAGCACTTCCAAGACGTCTTTTGCCCCCGAGGCCGAAGACCTTGCCCCGGAGGCCGGCGGAGGTCGGGAAGCGGGAGGCCGGAGGGCGACAGGGGTGGAGGCGAGGCCCCCCGGGAGGCCGCACACCGAGAGAGGCCTCCGCCACGAGTTGCTCCAGGCGTTGGAGGCCGGGGCCTATCGCCCCACCGCTGCGCCGCGCCCGAGGCCGGCGGTGCCTCGGGGCACCGCCGGCCGCCCGGCACCCCGATCGGGGTGCCGGGCGGCCGGCCGGGCGGCCGTGGGCAGAGGGCCGTGCAGAAGCCCCTGCCAGAGCTATACAGCCGGACCCCTGCCAGAGGAGCCTCCCTCAAGAACAGGAGGACCCCCCGCCGGCCAGAGCGCGCAGGGCAGTCCAGGGTGAGCCTCCCCGGGATGCACCTAGGAGCATCCAGCAAGCGCGGAGCACACCAGGGCACCCTCCCCGCACCGACCCCGACCCTCGACCTCGGCCCGACTGCGCCGCTCTGAGCCAGAGCTGGCGCAGAGCTGGGGCCCGCAGGCCCCCCTGCTGGGCCTGTCGGCCCAGGCCTGCCTGCATGGGTCGACCGTGCCGCCGGCGGCCCTGAGCCTGGTGCAACCTCCCCGCCTCGCGCCCGAGGCGTGGGGTTGGGCGTGGCTTCGTGGGGGGGGTCGTAGATGGGGGGGGGGTCGGAGACGGTCCCCTTTCCTGCCCTTTCCGGGCCCCTCCGGGGTCCCAGGGGGCCCGTTTCGGCACCGTCTGGGTACCTTTTCGGACCACCCTCGCCACCCCCCCATGTATGACCCCCCCATTGCGCGACGCCCAAGTGGGGGGTCGCCGCCGCTGCGCCGGCAGCGCCTGCCGAGGGAGGGCGTGCAGGGCCGAGCTTCAGCAGGAGGGAGGAGGAGGGCGCCGCCGCAGCAGAGCTGTCCCGACTGCGGGGACGGGCGCGCAGCGCCGTAGCGCTCACAAGGGGACGTCGGGGAAGCCATCTTCAGGCGCAGACAGTTGCTCAGCAGAACAAGGCAGAAGAAACCAAGTGCCATGTCTTGCGTCGAACCCTTTTGATTGCAGATAGGCGCAAAGGTCGTCAGCCCACCTTGTGCGGACGGTTCGGAAGCCTGCCTTTTGCTCGCCTTTTGCTCGCCGCCAGGAGGGAGGAGGGACGAAACGGGAGGAAGAAGGGGGAGGGAGGGAGGGAGGGAGGGAGGGAGGGAGGGAGGAGGAGGAGGAGGAAGAGGAGGAGAGAGAGAGAGAGAGAGAGAGATAGCGAAGTGGGAGGGAATTCCCTGGCCAGTGCCCCCCCAGGTCACGAGGCCCACGGGCATGCGGCGGCAGCCGCCGGCGCGGCGAGAGAACCCTCCGGCAGATTTGGCTGCGGCGAGCGCGAGGACAGCGCGCAGTAGCAGGAAGGCCGCCGCCGCGGTGCAAAGAACGGCGACGGGGTCTGGGAGTCCTCGTCAAAGCGCTGGGGCCCGAACGCTCCTGCCCCTTCTGGGCGCTGCACTTGGTGGGGGGCTGTTTCCACTTGGGGGCTACGCTTGGCGGCTACACGTGGGGCTTACACATGGAGGCTGCACATGAGGGCTACACCTGGGGGCTACACCCGGGGGGCTACTCTTGGGCGCTACACGTGGGGGCCACACGCGAAGGCCCAAACATGAGGGCCACGCAGGGGGGCTACGCTTGGGGACTAGTCTTGGGCGCTACACATGGGGGCCACACACGAGGGCCTGAACATAGGGGCTACACTTGGGAGCAATTCGCCCGCGCCGACTCGCTCTCATCCGCAAGCGCGGTGTGCTACGTGTTCTTCAGGAGTGCGAGCGGCTCCTTCACTTGTCGCGCGCGCTCCTCGGCTTCTTGCGCACTGCACCCAGGCACGGCGGCGTAATTTGCTTGGTTTGTCTTTGGCCGCATCGGTTCCTGTGACATTGGACTCCTGCAACATGGCAATACAGCACACAACGCCACGCAGCAACGTCCTCCGAAAGGAGCCGGCATCCGTCCTCACCTCTCCCCCCGTCCTCCTGCTCCTTCCGGTTCTCCTGCTACTCCCCCCGCTCGCTTCTCCTTGCCCTTTTCTCTGCTCGTCCTCCTCTCCTCCTCCCTCCCCTTTCCTCTCACCCCGACCCTGACCTCCCCCTCCCCCTCGACGATCTAAGCTGATCTCCTGCCCGCCATTACTTCCCCTTCCTCCTACCATTACTGACTGCCCCTGCTCTCCATGCCTCCCCTTCCCCCAAGAGCCCCCCGTTCACCCCTCCCTCCCTGCCCTACTCCCTGCCCCCTCATTTCCTCCCCCTCCCCCGTTGGCAGGCCAGGTTGATGTTCCTCTTTCCTCCCGTACTCGGTTCCCCCCTTCCGCCCCCCCTTACTATTCCTCCTCCTCCCCCTCTTCCTTCTCCACCTCCTCCCTTCCTCTTCTCCTCCTCCGCCTCATCCTCCTCCTCCTGCTGTTCCTCCTCCTCCTCCTCTTTCTCCTCCTCCTCCTCCTCCTCCTCCTCCTCCTCCTTCTCCTCCTCCTCATCCTTCCCCCATCCGCATCCCTCCCTCCCCTCAAATGTTCCCGTTGGCACACTCCCTCGCTCCCTCCTTCCCCTCTCTCGTTGTCGACATCGACCCTTCATCTCCCGTTCATAAGGACGACTCACCATTGCGATCAATATCCCTGTCTCCCTCTTACGACGGGCCTGCCTGCTACAGGCAGGAAACCAAAACATTGGTGCAACATTGGTGTCGGTTTTGCCGCCGTGCTTGTTTCGGCGTCTGGGTTCTCTGATGCATTATTGATGTTTTTTTGCTGCGCCCCCCCCGTCTGCTCAAATGTTGCTTGGTGTGCCGGTTGTTGCGGCGCTTGCCGCGCGCTTAATGCACGCCGCAGCGTTTCATTGCCGTTTGTTTGCCGCGGCGCTTCCTGCAGCGCCGGCCTGCGACTTCGCTGGCCGCGGGATTCCCTCGAAGCTGCTTGTCGCAAGGTTGTCGCAGCGCTTGTTGCGCATGGCTCCGAGAATTTGGCAAAACATTTGTGTTTTTTTTTTTGTAACGGACAGCAACAACAAAACAACAATGTTTTGCTAAAGTGTATGGTGCGTGCGTTTTTTGTACGTGTTGTCTGCCCGGTTGTATGCTGTATAATGTTGAATGAGGCGTTGGTGCGCGCGTTGTCGCGCGTTCCTCAGCCCTGGGAGGGAGACTCCCTCCCAGGGCTGAGGAACGTAGATGGGAGAGAGGGGTGACGAAACGGGAAGCTGGGAGAGGAGAGAGGGGAGAGAAGGGAGAGGTATCGAGCGTGCTAAGTACGCTCGCGCCATGTCTGACGACCTACCCTCCCTCCCATCCCTTACCACTGGAGAGGCTTGTCTCTTTCCGCCGACGCGTGTCATAACGGACCTGGATAACCTCATCATGTCATGCTCAGTCAGAAAAGACGGAGCAGCGTACATTGGAGGAGGAGGTGGCGGATGCGCAAGTGGATGAGCACGAGGAAACGGAGGATAATGAGAAACGCCGGACCGAACGTGAGGCTCGCGCTGCAACGAGAAGGCGATTTTGAAACACCGGAAGCAATCGGATAAAACAAACACGTACGAACAAACAACTTTGCCATCCGGCGTAAAAGCAATACGCGGAGAGGGCCGACATATTCTGGACAGCTTTTTTCTTTTTGCATCGCACGGCACGCGCACTCCATACGCACGATCCCTCCATCCAAAACAACTTTAACAATTTCAGCGCCAGGCTGGGCGCAAACTGCTTTAACACAGTTTTCACGCCAGCTGCACCGCACTGGCCCTGTGACATTTGCAGCATCCTGCGCGGCGTGGGGGGAGGGGGCGGGGCAGGCGGAGGGGGAGGACGAGGCGAAGGGGCAAGGGCGCTGCGCGGGTAACCC